ACAAATTCTTAGACAAACACTCAAATAGATTGCTTGGTGGCTCCCAGCCATCCGGTTCCTTAGCCTTTTAGCTTTTTAGTGTTTCGTGGTAGTTTCGGTACTTGACCCACCAACAGTTAGTCACTTTTCGCGGGGGATCTGAAAACGGGCTGATGAGATCAGCTTCGGTCAGATGATCTCAGATTTCTTACGATACCTTGCCCATGCTTTCCAGGGATCCTTTCTAGAAAACCTCCGAAAGCCCAGGGAAAACGGCGATCGGTTTTTGAAAAGAAGGATGGTTGAAAAGAATGGAGAAGGAATCAACCCCTAGACGATTAGCATAGGTTAGATTCGATTCCGAGGTGCGGTCCATGAGGGAAGCCGCAGAGCTGCGGAGCTATTTGGATCAGGCCGGATCGCGGCATCGAAAGGCTTTCGCTGGACCAAATCGCAGGCGCGTGTCATACAGAGCCCCGCAAAGGCAACGACGAACCTTCTGCGGATGCCCCGCGGCAAAGCCCCCCTTGTGCTTTGGGGCCAGATTTTGAGCCCAAAACACACTTCCCGAAGGTCTTCGGTTGACAAGGATGCCGGAGGAAAACAATTATTCCAAACTCAGGAGACCCAACTCTCAACACGCATTTGTGCACATAGGTGTCCTTTTTGGTGGTTTTGGTAGAAACATAGACGGCGATTCCTGGTTTACCTGGTGGTTTAATCATCTACCAGGGAAACCCATCTATTTGCCGTATAAGGACGCCTATGTCTGTACATTTCAAGGAACAAGAACGACAAATTGGGGCCTGGCAGAGCTGCCGAGTGGACGGCTGAAAGTTTTCTCGGCTCTTTGAGTTGGCGTCTGATGCTCGACGTACAATCTTTGCTGGACGGGGCGGCTCGTTTTGTTTTTTAGGATTCAGTCCCCCAAAGTTGGCTTCGGTTTTCAGTGTGGGCTCAAGAAATGACGGTTTTGCCGTGCTGTTTCTGGTTTCCCTTCAAAACCGACCAAACCAGGGGTAGCAGCTCAAAAAATGCAAAAACGAGCGAGCCAAGTTCGCCCGCGCCCCAAGAGGGATCTGACGTGTAGCAACTCCAAAAACGAGCCAGCGTTTGCGCCAAGAGCCCGGATTTCTGTGGCAGGTGGCGTCTCTGCGGAGCAAGTTTCAGCCAGCCGAGGACACCTCCAGCGCGGAAGCCCGGATTAATTGCGCGCGAGGGAACTCCTTAGGAGTGCCACGTTGGTTGGTACTTGACTGCTGGGTGGGATCTTGATCTTTAGACTTTAATCTTTTTGGTTGAAGTCAAGATGGTTTTTCCACAAAGCCCGGAAAAAGTGCAAGACGTTTTGCAAAGGTATACCCACGCCTTTTTGGGAGCCCCAGGCGTTTTTTTTTGGTTGTTGTTCCTAGAGTGGATGTCAGGCAAGCCAGGATAGAAGCGAAACCAGCCATGTTTCATGTGGTTTTTAAAGGGTGGTTTCCGTGGTTATCTGCTATACTGGTAAATGGCACTTGTAAGTCATTACTTGGATGTTCGATTCGCCAAGTGAGTAAGTGGTTACCCTGGGGAATAACCCACTCATGGCAGGGCTAACTCCACTTGCGGGGACTTCTGAGTGGGCTATCATCTAGGTTACTAACTCAAAACATCATTAACATAGCGCGGGTGCGGACAACATGTGCCGGTACCTGGGTTCTTGCCTGGGACATGACTCAGGCACTCCTTGGTTGGTGGCTTGGAGTGGTGGTTTGTGTTTGGATTTCACCCCCTGGTTCTTGTAGGGGGGAAATTGGATGGGAAAGCCACCAAACCGCCAGTTGGAGGGAAGCTGAGTGACATGACATCACACCAATGTCAGGTTTCAGTGCCTGGGATGTTAGGACTTCTATTTTTTTGCCAACTCATGTTTTTTTTGTTCCGTATTCAACCACTAAAAGCTATTCACTTTTAGCAGGCTTCGCAGATTTCGCAACCGAGATGTGACTTGGGAGCTTCCGTACACTCGGGCAAGCCCAGAGCCGACAGGCGTCGCGTTATTTTGGACATGAGGACCCCCTCAACTTTTTCGAAGGTTCCAAGAACAAGGGATCCTCCAATTCCTCTTTTTGGAACCTCCAAAAGTGGTAGGTTCAATGGAGACCGCCTGTAAATTGCAACTGATCTCTGCAGAAACCTCTCTAAAAGGACTTTCTTCTGGTGTTCCACTTTTTGTGATACAAACCAAATCCAGGTTACCTTAATAAATAGGAAAACTTTGAATAACTCATGGTATGCCGCTTTTTGTGACAAAAACAATCCCCTCGCCTTTTGCCAAAAAGACACAAATTCGTTGCCCCGGGCGAGCGCTGAGGCGACTGGTTGGAGTTGGCCTTTGGGCCCTCCAAGGAATCGCCGGGCCGGGGCTGGCCGCGCAACTTTCGCCGTTTCGGTGTCAAAACGTGGCTTCGGCCAGCGGCATCTCAGTTGGGAAGAAACGTCGAAACTTGGGGGTTGCAGGGTTCCAAATTTTAGTCGAGGAGTACTCGGTAAGTGATTACCCACCTGGGTTAGAACCAACTAACAGGATGTTCGATTCGTGCAAGAAGTAAGTGATTACCCGCCTGGGTTATGACCCACCAGGGTAAACTCCACTGACTGAGGGACTTACAAGTGGGTTATCAGGCTACGATTTACTTACTAGCTTGGCGAATCCAACACCCAAGTAAGATCCCCCATTGTTGGCCGCCTGAAGCTTAAAGAAAAAACGTGAAAAAACCACCGGGGAATGAGTTGGAATGACCCCATCCCAACTGGTGGTGTCCTTCAAGGGGCTCCTGGGTTCATTCCAGCTCATTCCCTGCGAATTTCGATTTCGCAACGTCTGGCCGCTCGCAGGGGGGGTCTTTTGGCCAGCTGTGGAAAAATAATCGACCCCCTCGTAGTGGAGGATTCCTTGAGGGGGTCGACCATGTTCTCACACGAGGGGCAAAAAATGACACCCCTGCACCATTCTCCCTTCACAACTCTTCTAGGTCCCCCAGCCAGGTGCCCTTTGACCGTTTCTTTTTTGGTTGGGAAGGTGAAGCCCTACTAAAATAGACAAATCCGAAAAAAAAATGGTACCCTTTTTCTAACCTCTCAGGACCCAGCTTGGGTTCCCCAATGTTATAGACCCCTGTCTCGAGTCAAAACCGCTCGGCTTCTCGTGCGCTCGCTCGAGAAGCCGCGCGGCGGCTCGTCCGCGCGGCGAGCGACAGGACTGGTCCTTCCGCGCCACGGTGGACGCCCGGCGCTTCGTGGGCCGCACCTTGTCCTCGCGCCAGGTGCACTGCCTGCGCCAGGCGTCAGTTTTTTGTCGGACGCATCCGGGAGCGATGAACGGGCGAGAGCAACAGAAGTACCGGGATCCGCAAACTGCCCGAAGGGAAAATGGGTTATTGACAAAATTGTTGGGTTATTGCCAACCAAAAGAATGATTTAATGGTTAGTGGGTTCCCCGATTGAGGGTCCAGGTACCTTGGAGGCCTTCGAAAGCTCCTCACAGGGGTTCTTTAGGCCTTCGATTGGCCACCCTTTGTTTGTTTTGGAGCAAGGTCCTTACCCAAAATCGGGTTTAATTTTGATGTGAAAAAGAAAACGTGACTTCCATTTGCTTAATAATATATATTTATTGTCTCCTGATGGTTTTAGCGGGAATCTATCACAACTGGAAATATGGGCATTTTTGTCCAGGGGGCTTCAGCAAATGGCAGATGAGCTCACCCAGAACGCTTGGTGGCAAGCCCCGCCCAGCCATCCGAATTGTTTAACCATCCGCATTTCTTGGGTTTCAGTGGGTTTCGTTGGGGTTTCGCTCCGGTCCTTACTTCAGCCACTCAAACCTTCTCAAGCCCTGGGGCGAGAAAAACCTCTGACCGCTCGGTTTCATTGGGCCCCGGGGAAGGTTCGGCTGGCACAAAAATGGTCGGCCATTTTTGCACTTGGCTCATGGCGTGGTCAAAAATGGTTGGGTAACCCCCGAAATGGGTTGGCCCGATCGGCTTAAATGGAGACATGGTCTCTAAAACCTGCGGTCCGATTCCTGGTGAAGTTTTGACCCACAGCCATATGTTTGGGGAACACATGTGTGTTGTTTTTGGGGATTTTTCTCTGGCTCGAATGGCAATCAAACCATGGCCATTTGCAGGGGCTTCACCAATTGTTGAAGGTGGATGCACCCCAGTTAGTGATATTTGTTTGGATCGTCAGCTGTTCAAACGACTAACAGCCCTTGTTAAATCCTTGCCGCCTGTTGCAGAGGGGTCTCCAAGTTCCATATCTGGTGCCTTGTTGAAATGTCCTAAACGTGGGGATTCTGGGGCGCGTGAACTCAAAGTCATACTCGCAGCGGATGAGCATTTTTGTTCACTCGGTGAAAGACCGGAAGAAGTGTTTGGGCCTGAACTACTTGGGTACTCTTGGAGGTGTATGCTTCAGAAAAAAAAAAAAAAAAACAACAACAAAAAAACATAAAATCCCTAATCCGGAGCTATGTACCAAGGTGCAATTTATAGGACATTTGTTTTGGAGCCACAGCTATATTGTATTGAGACGTTGTTTCAGTGCAATTTGTTCGAGGCCCTTGGCAAACTCCTCCTGGGTTCCGTGTCAATGAGAACCGAGCGGCCGACGCCATTCGCGGCTCGAGCCGTGACACGCATCACATGAGAGCCATGTGGGACTCGGCAGCTGAACTTCCGAGTAGCCGGATTTGACGCCAGCAATACCTGATGCGCCATGCATCAATGTTGAGCCAAGACCGGAGCGGTTGCCAGGCAGAAGAATACACCTTGAAGTGTATCCCAGTTACCGCCAATACGTCACCAGCACAGCCAGTCTTCTCTCGGTTTTTGAAGGATGGTGTACCTGCCCTGCAACCACCTGCATCCTTAAACTACAAAGCAAACAAAGAGGACCCCACCAACCCTCATTTTGGTTGGCAGCAACCCATTTTTTTGGGTAGGTTGAGGCTCTGAGGGTCCAGGTACATGGAATCATCGGGTGAAACTGAACAGCTGCCTGCCCTTCGTCGCCATGCGTAGCCAGAAGCGGTGCAAGACGGATCCAGGCATTCGCGAGGCCTCACAGGAGAAAGATCTGCCGAAAGGTCGGTCTAAGCCAAATCCGATTTCTATAGATATCTTTTTGTTGCTTTTTTTTGTCATACATGTTTGTTCATCAAGATTGGTTGCAATGCCTTTGGGCCCTTTGTTTCATGTACTTTGTTTGGTCAACATCATTGCCGCAACCAGCATTGCCTCGCGTTCCATTGGCAAGCCCAAGGAGGTGTCACCGACCAAACCAGCCTTCCGAGAAAAGCAGTCAACCAACACCCAGTTGAGTTGTGCAAAAGGCGATATGGGCTCCAATGATCAAGCCACGAACAGGACTCGGTGCTGTGATTAAGTCCGCTTGACTTGCTTAGGTGAAGAGTAGAGACGGTATGTTTTGCGCACATCCACACACACGTGCGCTATTTTGATCTGGTTGGGGGAATTGGGGGTCAACCTGTGCTGGAATTGGGGACTGAGTCATTTGGAAGACTCCAGAAGTATCGCAGAAGTGGGCAATGCCCACATTGCTGAAGTAAACCTGGCGAAAGCGCAGGTTTGAGGGGGGCCCAACAGAATTCAGCAGTTCAGGAGGACGTTCAAATAGCTTGCAAGCAAGGCTGCATACTCCATTGCCTTTTTAAAGATGAGTTTCCGCTCTTAGAAAGCTGTTGATAGACCTAGTGGTGCGGCCGTACCCTGGGGCGCTAGTCTGTGATTGCCAGAGGAGATAAATCCACTGTCATGGATTCTATGATCAAAATCCTTTTGGTGGTTGGGGATTTGTGTCAGTTGCCATGACCCCGTGTTGCAGGAATGGTATAAGGGGTCCTGGATATCCCTTTTCCTAAGTTTGTGATCGCCTTACCAGAAAATTGCCAGAAGTCAGCTAATAAAACATGGGATGCCTCCTTGGATTCCTCTGGCGGGAACAATTCAAGTCCCAAAAAAAATGTATATGAACCAACCCAGCACAAACCAAAGGAACTTGCAAGACACGGTCTCTTTTTCTTCTGGTTACGTTATCTGGCAGTGGCTCAAACAAATGTACCATGGCACCTTGGTGAATGGAACCAACGACCAACACCCGCGTAACCCTAGCTGTTTCATTTTGAGCCACACCTAATATGCATGAGTTGCGGGGGGTGGCTTATGGCAATTTGTTTGACCAGTAAACCTCCAAGAGTCCCTGACTGGACCCAAAACCCTTACCTCCATTTGCTTAAGAATATGTCTTATTTTCCCTTGTTGGTTTAAAAGGGAATCTATCACCACTGGAAACTGGAAATATGTATATTCCTGGGGCCGAAAAACCAAATGGAAGCTCATGGAAATGGGAAGGTGCATGCTGAGTTTGAGTTCACGCCCGTTGGGGAAAATCAGCCATGATGTTGCCTCACCGGAGACCGGCAGAGTCAGGGAGCTCCGTTCTAGGAAAATGCCAAATGACCTGGAGCTTTCAAGCCCACCAGGCGGATATGTGCGTATGACGATGGCTGAGGTGTGTACTGTGAATACTTTGTGCATAAAAAAGGCATCTTTATACAAATATATATATATATATATATACGCACCATTTCTGTATGCAGGGATCGACTTGTCTTCAGACAGGGCAAGCCCAACAACAATTATATTATTGGTTCCTTCGAAACAACCCAAATACAGTTGATGTACCCTCAACAAGGCTGCTCTTCTTGGTGCTTGTCACAGAGGGGAGCTCCCGCAAATCATGAATGTTTCGGACTTCATGTTGATCAACCAGCCAAGAATGAGGGTACCCTCCCTCCCACTAACATAGCTTTTGTGGGAGGGTACCTGGAACATCATTTTCTTCTTCAAGCGACCCTCTGTCAGGTGACATGTTAGTGGGAGAGAGGGTATCAAGATTTGGGGACGGCCTAGTGAGAGGTACGTGTCAGGCCCTATGGATCTTGTTTCTGCACAGAATCCGCGGCAGAGGCACCAGTTGAGATCCGAATTAAATACTGGGTGTAAACCATCTATGTCAACTGGTGCGAAGTGGATTTGGGGCTCTGCGTTTTTGTTGAGTTGGTTTCCCCCCCCTTTTTGGTTGGTTTAATGGGTTAGCCAAAAGAAGAGAAAAACGTAAAGCGCCATGTTTCGGGGGTCCGAACCTAAGAACAACGACACACCCCTTTTGGGTCCACCCACCGGATTGTCGCGCTCCGGCCGAACCGGCGCCTTCCAGTCGCCGAGTTTCCCGAGAGGACACTTCGCCGCGGCCGGGGGTGCGGCGCCTGAGGAGCGAGGCGAACTTTCTGGCCGGGGCCTCGAAGCGCTCGAAGCGCTCGAAGCGCTCGAAGGGGGAAGGGGCACGGACCAAAGAGCTCTGCGTTTTGGACCGAGAGGCCAGATCCTTGTTGCATAAAAAAAGGGGACTGGCCCAACACAAAGCAACCAATCTGTACCATGTGGGCGTATGTTTAAGGCTACCTCCAAAATAGCGACTTGCCTGTTGGCTTTCCCTTAACACACCACAAAAGTAGCGGTACCAACTCCAAACAAAGACATACCCATGTGTTGCTTTCCAGGAACCAGCCACTTGAGCCACAATCAAAACCCGCGTAGATGAAGGTTAGTACGGGACGATCCCAGCCAGAAATAGCTGCGGATATCCGCCTTCTTAATTCTGTACGTGGTTCTGGGTCAAGCATTTTTATCCCAGGTTTTGATTATGACTCTCATGGGGATGGTAAAGCTAGCCCCATTGGCCATGAGTGTTGTGTTCTGTTTAAGTACCAGTGGGAAGTTGCTAAAATAGACAAACATAGACAAAGAAGAAAACAGTTAATACCCTTATTCTAACCTCTCGACTGGAGGACCTAGCCAGGTTTTGATTTGGACTCACCTTTTCCACCCAGTCCGGTCGGAGTTCATTCGATTGGGTCCTTGAGGACGACCGCTTCGACACGCTGCGGGAGTTTTCGGATCCTGAGCTGCTGGAAGAGTTGGAGCGGAGGAGCTTCGGGCGGATAACATGGCAAACCGTGTGGCTGAAAAAGGATAGTATGTCCATTGGCTGAAAACTTGACTGCTATTGGGTTGCATCTTTAGGCTCTAACTTTTCGGGAAATCAAGGGGGGTTCCACTAAACCCACCAAAGGTTAAACTTTTTGCAGAGGGATTAGCAGCAACCAAGGAAAGGATAGTGAATTGGCTCTGTCTGGCTGAGTTGCGCCACAAGTTTGGCTTCCATGGGCTGAAAAGGATTTCGTGTTTTTTTTTTCTTCTGCTGGTTGGCTTTAAAGGGAATCGATTTCACTGCTGATTTGTTTTTCCAGTGGGCCAAGCAAATGGAAAAAGGGGTGTGTCCGAAAAACTGGGGGCGGAACGGAAAGTCTGATTTCTTGTATGAGGGTGGCTCCCAGCCATCCGGTTCAACTTGGGTTTAGTGGCTGGGGTTCCCCATTTGACCAACTAAAAGTTGTGGACTTTCAGCAGGGGATCTGAGGACAGCCCAGTTTTATGATGAAGCAAAACATACTGGGGCCAACAATGATTTGACTTGTTCAAGGCAATTTGGGAGCCCCGCAGTTGGTTTCCCAGGAGTGACCAAACCCGGAGGGAGCTGCTGACAGCACGAATCTCAATTTGTTGTGGGTGCTACTTCTGCCTCCGAAGTTTGCCATGTTCAGTGGTTTGTGGAGAAAGGACAAATATGTAGCGGGCATTGCAACTGAGAGTCTCCTTCGCATTCAGCATTGATTAATGTACCCGAGCTAGGCCTGCTGTTTGCAAGTTGCCATTGAGCCGCCTGAAGCTGAATTGATGGATGTCCATCGACCGTTTGGGCCAAATGGGTGTGTCTTTTTCTAGATTGGACCCCCCTAACATGGTGTTTGTTTGTTTTTTCGGTTTCCTTTAAAACTGCCAGAACAGGGGTACCACCTCCAAAAAAATCGACGCCCACCTGAAGCTTTTTCTGAGCTTTGGCAGTGCCACTGTTGCAGCCTTCGGCGAGCGACGACGTGGCAGGAGGTGCCAATTCCTGCAGAACCTGGCGCCTGCCTAAGATATGGTGTTGGCATGGGATCAAATCATCAAGAACTTCCACTTGCTTGAGATTTATTTGTGATTTTCACCTGTTGGTCTATCACTAGTGGAAATATGTAGAAGAGAAAAGAGTTGGCTTCAGTGATTCGAAGTGCAGCATACTTCGGAGAAAGGTGGCTTTTGCTGGGTTGTCCCTTCTCGCTCCATGAGTCTGTGGACGTTAGTCCCTTTTTAGCAAGTTGCGCCATTTTGGTAAACCAAACTTTGGACTTTCGTTGGCCTGTCCACTCACAAAGTGAGCCTTTGAGGTCAAAAAACTGAGTGGCCAGTCGAGTGACTTTCTGTGAGCATCTCAGCCAAATGATCACTATTCGGTAAGTGGCAGGTCAGAAATTTATCATATGGGTGTGTGTTTTTTGGTGGGTACCCCCCTTTGCAAGGAAAACCAAAAGGATAACCATTCTTTGGGGGAACCCCTAACAAAAAGACACGATCTTTGAACTCAAACATGTTGACACCATGGCAGCATCAGTAGATAAGGCTGCGTTGGCGAGAGTTCATACAAGGGATCACACCGGATGATTGAAAAACACTTTGTTCCGCGCAACTAGACTATGCAGGCATCGCGTGCGGAAAATGGACACCTGGAGTCTCAAACCACCCCAAATTTTTGGGGCAAAATGTAAAGAATGGCATTCTTTGTCGAAACACCTTTTCTTGAACAAAACACCTTTTTTTGGTTCTGTGCCAAGTAAAGCCCTGAAAGTCCATCAGCGGATTTGTTTAACGGTGTTGTCACGATAAGCGGTGTTCTTTGGGGCGTTGCTGTTCACTGTGCAGGGCTTGCTTGAAAGATGCAAGTGCCAAGTCAAGCAGCGGCGCGGACCTTGCTATCACCCAATGTAAAACCTCCTGGTTCAGCTCAGCTGCTCAATGCCTTTGATGTTGGAATGAAATAAAATCATCAAACATAATTTGACCTTGGCCCAAACGGCTTGAATGCCAACGCAACACAAGGGAAAACAAAAGCCGCGTTATTAGCCTTGCATGTATGTGTGAGACAAACATTTGGGAGTTGCACAAGTTGAGAAGGCTGCCCCGTTGCGTGTTGCTTAGCATTGGAGCCGATCACTGAGTCGCAAAGCATCCAAGTCAGGTGTTTCCTTTGGAAGCGAGCAGGTGGCTTGGTGCACCACAACTCAAACTGATGTTTAGGAGGGCGCTGCGACAATGCAAAGAACCAACATCACTTAAACAGGAGTTAGACATTTCGAGTTGTTGCTTCTAGTGTGTGCGGTGTGCTTTGCGCGGCACACATCACAAACGGTCTTTCATGGCAGAACCCGGTCTTCTAATGGCTTGAAACAGTGTGCCATGCGCAGTTCACTGCATGTTCATGTAATGTCACTCTACTTTCACGACAGTAGAGTCCAAGAAGGTATAAGTTCAATGAACAAATATTGTCGCAACAAATTGAGAAGGATAACTTTCGCAGACTTTGTATCAGCGCGATGGGAGTGATTCCGTATTTGTCCACAGCTCTGTGCCTTTGGGCCATGTGCCCAATATTGCTTCAATCTACAAACAACACAATAAACAGTTTAATTAAGCATGATATACAATACTTTGCAAATTCGGGTATGTTCAGTTTCACCATGCCTCCTAGATGATCAAGTTCACATGTTGCTTCAACTCTTCAACTGTGGTTCTCTGGCTAATGCGACTCAGCGCAACATGTACCAGTTGCCCTTAAAGTTGATGCCGTGAAGCAAGCATATTGCTTTTAAGCTTTGCTCACAGCGCTAAACTGCCCCAAGACCCTCACTGTTACAGCCAAAGGGTCCAATATTTATATGATAACAGGCAAGCTTGCAAGGCATGCTACAGTATTCTGCGAACAATGGCTGTCGCTGGCAATTGAATGGTCGTTCCGAAACGTCCACCTAGGATTAAACATTGCACCTGGAATAAAGAGAAATGGGTGGCTCCCCAAAAAATGCACCTGGAATAAAGACAAGCACCCGCCACCCCCGCCCAAATTTTCTGAACGAAAAGTATAAGGAGCATGACAAAATGGAACAAACAGAGAAAGAAGAGGAGAGGTAGCCAAGCCAACACCTGGTCCTTAGATCTTTGGTACCTTGTTCTTCAGTACTGCCCAGCTGCCCAAGAAGTCATGGTTTCTTACATGTCTCTTGTTTAAAAACTGCCTGCAATCAAACCTGCAAAGGGGGTGGGTAGTACTTCAGGCCCCCAAACTTGAGCCCAAGACTTTATTTCAGGGGCCCCTACAATAAAGTCTTGTTGTCTGGCCCCCTGCAAATATACAACTAGCCCAGTGTAACTACCTATCAAGCTTCGGGCTTTGTGGTTAGATTTGGGCCTGCTTCCCTAAATCAAACATGTCCAGCTTCCCCAAGCTCTTGTTTTCTTGCATGTCTCTTGTATAAAAACTGCCTACAACCAAACCCACAAACAACCTAGTACTTCAGAAACTTCACCCCCAATTTGACATTATTTCAACGGCCTCTGAAATAAAGTCTTGTTGCCTGCCCGCGGCTGCCCGCGTCCAAAAAAGTATCAAAAGGAAGCTCCAGCAATACAAAATCAAATGGAAACTAAGTTCCAGATCTCACAAGGAAGCTCCAGCAATGCAAAATCACATAGCAACTCAATTCCATATCTCAAAAGGAAGCTCCAATGCTAAATCAAATGGAAACTCAATTCCAGATCTCAAAAGGAAGCGCCAGCAAGGCTAAATCAAATGGAACCTCAATCCCAAATCTCAAAAGGAAGCTCCAGGAATGCTAAATCAAATGGAAACTCCAGCAATACCAAGTCAAATGGAAACTCAATTCCAAATCTCTAAATCATATGGAAGCTCCATTCCAAATCTCAAAAGGAAGCTCCAGCAATACTAAGTCAAATGGAAACTCAATTCCAAATCTCTAAATCAATCAGAAACTCCATTCCAAATCTCAAAAGGACGCTCCAGCAATACTAAATTAAATGGACATTCAAGTCTAATTACCGATACTAAAGCAAATGGAAGCAACATTGAACGGGATCTCAAGAGATTATTCTAGGCACCCCCTTTGTTGGGGTGGGGGAGGGCCCCCCCTTTACTAATCCCAGGTGGACATTACTCCGAACAAAGACCATTTACAGGACATTGCTCCGAACATAGTTCGGATAGGTGGACAGGGTCCGGAAGGGCGGACGCCTCCGTCCGGATGCGTCCGGACGAGAAAAACATACAAAAAAACCTTTTTCTATCCAAAACACCTTTTTTTGTTTTGGGCGTCCAGCGGGGCGTCCGAAAAGGCGTATTTAGGCGTCCAAAAGGCGTATTTAAGCGTCCGTCCCGGACTAGTCCGAACCAAAACACATTTTTTTGAAAAAACACCTTTTTTTGATAGTCCGGGCCCGTCCGGACCTATCCAGACCCGTCCGGACCCGTCCGGGCCGTCCAACCGGTCCGGCGGACCCTGTCCACCTATCCGGACTATGTTCGGAGCAATGTCCTGTAAATGGTCTTTGTTCGGAGTAATGTTCGCCTGGGATTAGTAAAGGGGGGGCCCTCTCCCCCCCAACAAAGGGGGTGTCTAGAATAATCTCTTGAGATCCAGTTCAATTTTGCTTCCATTTGCTTTAGTATTGGTAGGCTTAAGTTTCCATTTAATTTAGTATTGCTAGAGCTTCCTTTTGAGATCTGGAATGGAGTTTCGATTTGATTTAATATTTCTGCAGCTTCCTTTTGAGATCTGGAACGGAGTTTCCATTTGATTTAGTATTGCTGGAGCTTCCTTTTGAGATTTGGAATGGAGTTTCCATTTGATTTAGCATTCCTGGAGCTTCCTTTTGAGATCTGGAACTGAGTTTCCATAAGATTTAGTATTGCTGGAGCTTCCTTTTGAGACTTGGAATTGAGTTTCCATTTGATTTAGCATTGGAGCTTCCTTTTGAGACATGGAACTGAGTTTCCATGTGATTTAGAATTGCCGGAGCTTCCTTTTGCGATTTAGAACTGAGTTGCTAATTGATTTTGCATTGCTGGAGCTTCCTTTTGAGATCTGGAACTTAGTTTCCATTGGATTTTGTATTGCTGGAGCTTCCTCTTGATACTTTTTTTGGACGCGGGCAGCCGCGGGCAGGCAACAAGACTTTATTTCAGGGGCCGCTGAAATAATGTCAAATTGGGGGTGAAGTACTAGGTTGTTTGTGAGTTTGGTTGTAGGCAGTTTTTAAACAAGAGACATGCAAGAAAACAAGAGCTTGGGGAAGCTGGACATGTTTGATTTAGGGAAGCAGGCCCAAATCTAACAACAAAGCCCGAAGCTTCATAGGTAGCTACGCTGGGCCAGTTGTATATTTGCAGGGGGCCAGACAACAAGACTTTATTGTAGGGGCCCCTGAAATAAAGTCTTGGGCTCAAGTTTGGGGGCCTGAAGCACTACCCACCCCCTTTGCAGGTTTGATTGCGGGCAGTTTTTAAACAAGAGACATGTAAGAAACCATGACTTCTTGGGCAGCTGGACAGTTTGATTTTTGGGGAGCTGAAGAACAAGGTACCAAAGATCTAAGGACCAGGTGTTGGCTTGGCTACCTCTCCTCTTCTTTCTCTTTTTGTTCCATTTTGTCATGTTTCTTATACTTTTCGTTCAGAACATTTGGGGGGGTGGCGGGTGCTTGCCTTTATTCCAGGTGCATTTTTTTGGGGGCCACCCGTTTGTCTTTATTCCAGGTGCAATGTTTAATCCTAGGTGGACGTTACGGAACGACCATTCAATTGCCAGTGGCAGCTATTGTTCGCAGAATACTGAGCTTACGGAACGACCATTCAATTGCTAGTGACAGCTACTGTTCGCAGAATAGCAGGTGTTGCAAGCTTGCCTGCTATCATGTAAAGACTGGACCCTTTGGCTGTATGCTTGCTTCAGGACATCAACTTTAAGGGCAACTGGTACATGTTGCGCTGAGTCGCATTAGCCAGAGAACCACCGTTCAAACAACATGTGAACTTGATCATCTAGGAGGCATGGTGAAACAGAACATACCCGAATTTGCAAAGTATTGTACATCATGCTTAATTGAGCTGTTTCTTGTGTTGTTTGTAGATTGAAACAACTTTGGGCACATGGCCCAAGGGCACAGAGCTGTGGACAAATACGGAATCACTCCCATCGCGCTGCTACAAAGTCTGCGAAAGTTATCCTTCTCAATTTGTTGCGACAATATTTGTTCATTGAACTTATACCTTCTTGGACTCTACTGTCGTGAAAGTAGAGTGACATTACATGAACATGCAGTGAACTGCGCATGGCACACTGTTTCAAGCCATTAGAAGACCGGGTTCTGCCATGAAAGACCGTTTGTGATGTGTGCCGCGCAAAGCACACCGCACACACTAGAAGCAACAACTCGAAATGTCTAACTCCTGTTTAAGTGATGTTGGTTCTTTGCATTGTCGCAGCGCCCTCCTAAACATCAGTTTGAGTTGTGGTGCACCAAGCCACCTGCTCGCTTCCAAAGGAAACCTGGTTTGGATGCCTTGCGGCTCAGTGATCGGCTCCAACACTAGGCAGCACGCAACGGAGCAGCCTTCTTAACTTGTGCAACTCACAAATGTTTTTCTCACACAAAAATGAAAGGCTAATAGCGCGGCTTTTGTTTTCCCTTGTGTTGTGTTGGCATTCAAGCCGTTTGGGCCAAGGTCAAATTATGTTTGATGATTTCTCCCATGCCAACATCAAAGGCATTGCGCAGCTGAGCTGAACCTGGAGGTTTGACATTGGGTGACAGCAAGGTCCGCGCCGCTGCTTGACTTGGCACTTGTATCTTTCAAGCAAGCCCTGCGCAGTGAACAACAACGTTGTTAATTCAAACAAGTCAAACACACCGCTAGCGAAATTGCAGGGTTGACAAAGCAGCGCATGAAAAAACGAAAACACCCAAACATGGAACTAACACCCCAAAAAATGACAAAACACCCCAACAATGAATGCAACACAGCACCACCCCAAAAACGAAGGGTGATTGAGGGTCCAGGCAGTTGTTTGGACCCGGGCCTTGCCACTCGACAACGGCAAATGTCGTGTAAGGCTTGTCATCACTGCGCGATTTTGTCAATGGGTGTGGGTAAAAAATAGGTACCCAAAATGGGTTGCCCTGGTACATGGAACCAAGGACTAAAACCTGCGGTCCAATTCCTGGTGGTTGAATTTTGACCCACACCGAACTGACCATCCCAGCCCAGGACGGCAAGTGCCTCAGTAGCGATGAGTTGGAGGAGGTGGACGGGGAGACGATCACAGCGATTCTGCCGGAGGATGGTTGGCGGCCCGGCCCCAAAACAAGCGCACACGGGGAAGTAGGAGGAATTTCGCGTGTGATTAAATGAGTCCGTTTCTGCGTGTTGCACTTGGTCCCACACTGAAAAGGCAATTCCAAGGATTGCTCTTTTCCCACGGCTATTGCTGAGTATAGGATCATGGGTCACGAGGAAACTTGAGTCACGCGAGAGCATGTGGGTTATATGGAGGAGTCTTCAAGTCGGGGACCGCCTGAAATGGGCGGTCTCCTAGTTTCCATTTGAAAAATGAAAGCGGTGCCCTCCAGAAAAGGAACGCCCATCGGTCAAAATCGGGGAAATCAAAAGCAGAAAAACAACAAGTGGTGGCCATGGGTCAAAATCCCGTACCCAGTGAACATCCCAATCCCCACTAAAATAGACTAAAATGGGTGCTGCTACCCCAAAATGGGATCCCATTGGTTTTGACCCACAGCTTGGTGTCCCTTTGCTTCCTCCAGCCCGACATTTCACTCCCTTCAAGGACCTTCTTTTTGGGGGGAAAAGACGAACAACAGAGGTAAACAAGTAGGTCCCCCAGTAGTGCCCTTTGAACCTGTTTTGGGGGAGGGTTCCCCGAAAATAGACTACAGAAGAAAAAAAGGGTACCCTTATTCTAACCTCTCTACTGGAGGACCTAGTAAAAGAAAATCGCTTTCCGCCCCCCCCCAAGTTTGAGGCTTTGAGGCGTAGCATCTCAGCATCCCATTTCAAAGCTCTTTGCTCTTGGCTCTACTGGAGGACCTAGATGTACATATAGAGTCCCCAAATGGTCGCCCATCAATCAATGATGAGGTACACCTATGTTTCCACCCAATGCACATGTCTGGATGTTTGTTTGGGGGGGAGACGATTTTAGAGGTATATGACCAACAACAGTTTGGACTTTTTGTTTGCCCCCTTCTTTTTGGGGGGAAAAGACGAACACTAGAGGTAAACAACAACGTTTTGGACTTTCTCACTCCCTTCCAGGACCTTTTTGTTTGGGGGGGGGGAGCATTTTTGTTTGGGGGGGCGGAGACGTTTTAGAGGTAGCCAAAAAAAGAGAGGCGAATTACCCTTATTCTCACCTCTTTGTTCGGACCAAGACAGTGGCACCGATCATTTTCCCCTTTTTTGTTGTGGCTGCCCCACCAAAAAATGGTCTTCATGCCCCAAAACATCGGGTTCCCTTTTTCCTTCCAGGGTCACTGAACAGTTCGGGCCTTGTGGACTGGCCCATCGGTTCGGAGTTCGGCGCCCGGGACTCGGGAGCTCCTCGCGAGCCCCGGGTCGGCGAGCCTCCGAGGCTCTTCGAGGCCTCGGAGGAGCCCTTCACGGTGCGGCGCTGGCGGCATAGCCCGGACCATGAGCTGGACCAGGCGCGTTTTTTTTGGGACAGGGGTGAGGTCTCTTTAGGGTTTAGGGTTTAGGGTGGGGGGGGGCGGGGAGGTCTCTTGTGCGTTTTTGGTGTTGAAATGGGTTTGGGTTTGGGGTCAAAGAACAAGAAATGGCCGGAAGTTTGCCGTTTTGTCGGGAGAGAGGTGTCTTGTGCCTTGTGCTTTGGGTTTCAACCGAGCCATGTTCTTTTTTGGAACCACCAAAAGTAGCCCTCGTTTCAAGGGAAACCACACCCCTCGTTTCAAGGAGGCACACCTGGCGCGAATGGCTCTTTGTTGGCACTGGGGTTTGGTGTGATCATTGTTCCCCTTTTAAGCAACTGCTCACACAAAAGGAGTGCCCAGTCAAAACAGGGGAACCCCTAAAATGGGTTGTTTCCGCTTGGTTTCCCTTTAAAGAACCCCCAAAGGGGCTAGCCTTCAAAAGCACACATCCACATGTCCAGTTGGTTTCCAAAAAAAGATGCGCCATGATGCGCCTTCATTGACCTGTCCAGCTGGTTCCCCCCTAAACCAGGCTGATGTCTGCTCTCGGCAGTGGACTTCGTTGTTTTTAGATTTTTAGGATACTGTGCAATTGGTTCTGCACAAGTGAAGTGATTTTAGTCTTGACGCTATATTGCTTCCTCTTGTTTTTTTGTGTTTGCTAGGTGGCTTCCCAGTCAGCATGTTTGGACGAAATGCCCAGTCGTGGATTAGCGAGGGACCTGGGTTAGGCTTTTGTCATGTTTGAGACCACGCCCGAAAACTGGCCTCGACTGAGCGCATACCACCCAGATCTTCACACCAGCCCCGTACCTGACGACGAACACCAGCCCCGAGCCAACCCCAAATTCAATCGAGATCAACAAGAAACCATTGGCAGCCTTCCCGTTCCTGTCCCAGCCCACTTGAATAAATTGGCCTGAACTCAAGTTGTCCAACCCGATATGCAGGACTCGATCTGCTAGGACTTCCCAATCGTATTCCCCAGAACAAAACCATGGGTCTGTTCTTTTTGGCTCTGCCCCATTCTTTGCGGCTTTAAAGGGACACATGAAAATCGCGGCCCTTTTTGGGTAGCCCTAAGAAAAGACAAGCCACCCAGTTGTATCTGTTGGTTGAAGTTGCGGAGGCGGGTGTTCTGAGTCCCATCAAACTTGCGGCTTCTCAGCAGAACATGAGCTGGAATGACCCGCTATAATTAAACCATCCATCCCGGGTTTTCCTTTGTTCGGGAATCCCTAATCCCCTTCATGACCCCACCACACGGACTCGGAAAGTCCTTCACTTCCCTGGATAGCCAAGTTGCGATCGTTTTCTTCAGTCACTGTTGCTGGGTTTTGGGACAAAGTTCATGGAAGAAAGCGATCGCAACTGGCGATCCAAAGGGGACCCACACGTCCGCTAGTCTTCGGAAAGGATTCGAGTTAGTCTTCGTTCCAGCGACGTCTGGCCTGCTGTGCAGTCAAATAAAACTTTTGTGCAACTAGGAAGCTGGAAACTCGCAGATCCGGAACGGTTGAACCGTTTTCTCCGGGTTTCCGAGCCATTCCCTTTTGAAACAGCCACTTCAAAAGGGGGTGAATCGTTTCAATGGAAACCATCCCATCGCGTTCTGTCAGGTGCACCTTGCCGCCAGTATGGCCATCAACTGGGGCGTCGCCGTCTGCTGGCTTCAGCTGGCTTCAGGGGGGGCGGATCGGCGGATCCGCGGATCTGGCCCAAAGACACGGGGTGATTTGCTGTTTTTGGGATGGACACCCCCAAAAAAACGGTGGTTTGTCCTTTGGTTTCCCTTGAAGACCTGCCAAAAAAGGGGGACCGAACCTGAAACAAAGACACCCCATGTACTTCGCAGGCTTTAGCTTGATGTTAGCAGAAGGAGGCAGTAGCTTGCAGGCAGAGACCATGTGTTGCCTTGACCCTCTCGATTGTACACGTGCCAGTGAACGGCCTAAATTCTGTATGGCCACAGCAAAGAAGATGCGTAAAGTAAAGCCCACCGAAGTGACCACTTGGGAGCTGCCCCAAATCTTAAGACACGAGCCACGTATTGCCCAAGTGTATACGTCTTCTCAGAGAGGGAAGAACAAATGAAACCAAGCGTCCTTCCAAAGAGCCCAATTGTTTGTTTTTGAATGCTGTGAGTCAGGCAACCCCAATTGGTGGTTTGGATTGGTGGTTTGGGATTTGAACCAGGGTAAATGGGACACCGCTTCGCAACCATCAAACCACCGGGCTCAAACCACCGAAGCAAGATGCGGATTGCTCTTCTTTAGGCAGTTCCCAGCCATCCGGTTCCTTCATTGAACCTAAGCCTTTAGCATGGACTTGAGGACAGCCCAGTTAGGTACAGTTGATATATGATTTTCGACCAAATGCTGTTGCATCACAAAATCTATGGTCAATTGGCGGCTTTCCCTTGTTTTCTTGCAAGCTCTATAGGGAAACGTTCGAGCATATGGGCACATTGGGCGACAGAACGGCGGTGCATCTTCAACAACTGGTATCCAACACCCGGGCAGGTTGTTTCAAGGGAGATGTTTGATCAATGAACCTAAACCAACAATCCCAGTGAAGTGTGTGCTGCCATCGCCCACATCTTTGACAATCGAACAAGCGAACTGTTTGAGTTTTTTTTGGCCGAAACATGACTCAGAAAGCAGTGACATTCTTTCAAACACAAAAAATGAGACTCGGGAAGATACCCAGCAGGTGAGCAAGTCTTGGAGAAGCAGTGCGGAGCCTTGTTGACCTGCGCATGTTTTTTTTTTTTTAAATCCAGCAGCCGTGAATTTGATAAAATGAGTGCCCAAACCCGCCAACCCCCCCTTCGCCATTTTGGTAGGAAGTTATACTGCCAGGTTCAACAGATAGTAAGGCCTTTCTTGGGCGGGTGGTTCGGTTCTTGTCGAATGTCGAGCGTCTTTGTTTCAGGCGGGCTGAAGAGAAACGAAGACGCAATTCTTGGTTCCCTTTGGATTTTGCGTACACCAAAAGGGGAGGTGTAAACCAAATCAGAGGACACCAAGTCTCTTTCAGAGTGCCAAGCTGCAACAGATCGGCCAGCATGAAAGACCATCAAGAACAGAACTCCCAGCAACATCTCGGCTTGTGCTTGGACCTCGCGCCGAAGGTTGCCAACAGCAAGGGCCTCAAGGGCAGAGGAGACTCCACCCTCGGACAGGAGCCGCCACACGAAGGGCCGACCCGCAGGGACACCACATATGCATCATACTCGCTGTATTTTTCGGCGTGGGACGTAGGCTGAGGTCGTTCTGGTTGAAAGTTGGAACTGTGTTGCGGGTGAAAACTGGGCATCCCTGATCAGCCAGAATCAAAGATGTTTATTTTGAACCCAAGCGAGAAGTTGTCTATTGCAATCTCCTGCGAGGCAATGAATTTGCGCATGTGGCACAGCACTTTTTTAGATTGGTCCGCTTCAATGTTGTGGTTCTGAATACATCCTTCCAGTCGGACATCCCGGAGCCTTCTGGGTCACAAAGTAGGTAGGCTTGGGTGTAGCTTGACCCATTGTTTAGCCTGCCTGTGTGCCTGCAAACTAGGATGAATGTCCACAGTGCATTTTGTTTAGTCTTCTTATGTCTTCTTCTTCTTCCTGCCCCCAACATTTGTAAAGTCTTGCACACCCGTCAAGCCAGATCACACGACTCTTCATCAATCTTGTTGGCCCTTGACGTTCAGCTGCAGGGAGGGCAAGATGTAGTTCCTATTCAGTCCCTCAGACTAACATGGAAGCTTCCAGAAGGGCTGTGTATACGGAACCCAGTCTTCCAAAGGGGTCCTGGGAGCTGGGGGAGGGTATTCAGTCCAGCTGTGTCCCCAGTTCACTTGTGATTTGCGTGGATCAAGTTGTTTGCGGAAGCGACCTGCCTTTTCATTCGCAGCTGTGACGAAAGACAGCCTATGTCTTCTGGGGTCCCGGTGGTGTTCATCCACGCTCTACCTCCCTGCGCGTCCCAAGGTGACTTTGGATTTCTTCTTTGGCGGCTTTTCAAATGCATGTTGTCAGTCAGGTGGTTGCTTTGCAGTGTCTCAGGTGGCCGGTTTTGAGCACTTTAGCCTTTGTACTGGTGAGAGTTCTTTTGTGGTCCTGTTCTCACACCGCATGGCAGCGGGTGTTGTCACCTCTGTCGTCGCTGGTTGTTGACCACGAGCCGCACGCAGTTGAGAGACGTACGCCGTTCCGCGGAAAGCTCCACACGCCAGCCAGTGGAAGGGATGTGATGCCAAGCTATCAGACAACTTTGGGATCGCCGAACTATCCTTGCCACAAGCTAGCAAGCCGAGAATGCTGAGCACGGCTTGTCAGTCCACGCGCGTGCCTGCGCGGTGCCTCACATATTCCGCAAGGATGCGGGGCATGACTTGTGACATGCTATCTAGACAAATTATAGCGAGCTCATTGGCCTGAGGCGAGCCCCAAACCCCGAATTACGAGGTGGTTTCCGAAATAAGGATTTCTCAAATCTGTGGGGTGTTATTCGGCGCACTGGGGGCGCCAAGTGTGGCCAGGTGTGCGAGATTCCGACCCCCGTAAAAAGCTTGAAAGCACATATGTTTGAGACAATCCGAACCCTGAATTTCATTAACACGCGTATCAGGTTCTCAAAAACCAGCCGTTTCTGCTTATTTGGCCCTAAAATGCTTGCTACCGCACTCGTTTGAGAAAATATGGCCCTTCACTGCCTCAGTAAGACTGGCCTCAAATTCCCCACAACCGTCCGTTTCTGCTTAGTTGGCCTTGAAAAGCTTGAAAACACAGATATAGATGTTTGAGACAATCCGGCCCTTCTCTGTCTCTCATTGAGGCGGGTATTAGGTTCTCCAAAACCAGCCGTTTCTGCTTATTTGGCCTGAAGAAACTTGAAACACACACGTTCGAGAAAGTCAGGGGCCCTTCGCTGTCTCTCGTTAAGACACATAAAAACCAGCCGTTTCTGCTTAATTTGCCTTCAAAAGCTTGAAAATACACTCGTTTGAGAAATCCGGCCCTTCTCTTTCTCTCATTAAGACTGGCATCAACTTCTCAAAAACCAGCCGTTTCTGCTTAATTGGCCTTGAAAAGCTTGGAAAATCCGGCCCTTCTCTGTCCCTCATTCAGACTGGCCTCATCTTCTCAAAAACCAGCCGTTTCTGCTTAATTGGCCTTGAAAAGCTTGAAAACACGCGTTGAGAAAATCCGGCCCTTCTCTGTCCCTCATTCAGACTGGCCTCATCTTCTCAAAAACCAGCCGTTTCTGCTTAATTGGCCTTGAAAAGCTTGAAAACACACGCGTTGAGAAAATCCGGCCCTTCTCTGTCCCTCATTCAGACTGGCCTCAAATTCTCAAAAACCAGCCGTTTCTGCTTAGTTGGCCTTGAAAAGCTTGAAAACACAGACGTTTGAGAAAATCCGGCCCTTCTCTGTCTCTCGTTGAGACTGGTCTCAAGTTGTCAAAACCGGCCGTTTCTGCTTAAGCTTGAAACACACACGTTTGAAAAAAAGGTTCAACAATACACCTGGCTCGACCCCCCTCCAATTTTACACCCTTTTTAGGAGGCAAGGAAGGCGCCGAAATACGAGGTGCGAGGTGGACCCTTAATTTGCGAGGTAGTATTTTATTACGTTTTTAATAATTCGAGGTACGAGGTAGAAATTATTATAATTTGTCCAGATGCTATGAGTGCAGCTGCAAAAGCCCAAGCCGATTTTCAACAACTATGGAGGTTTCGAAGGACAAGTCGAAACCAGGCCGTTCTTGGTGAGAAGTGTGATCTGCCAACGAGGATATGTTCATGTCAGGATTTGCTTCCGTCCTGCCGCCCAAGCAAATTTCCTCCAATTCGGTCAGGTTCGCCCTGTGTGGGGTTCAGGGTGGAGGGCCACCATACTTGGGTGGTCGGCCAAGTTAGGTGAGTAGTTGGCAAGCTAGGTGATAGCCCACTCAAAAGCGGAGTCTCCCCTGTGATTCGCGGGTTATAGCCCAGGTGGGTTACGGTAACCACTTACCAACTTGGCCGAACAAATTTCCACGCAGGTTTTCCGCTCGGTTCGGCTCGGACGTTAGGACAACTTTCTGGTGGCCAAGCTGTCGATGGGATGGAAGGCCGCCTGCGTCTTTGACGGCCATGGGAACCAGGGCCATTGGCCCTCTCAGCGCATCGCACAGACCATGGCCTACTTCCTCAACCAGGCGACCGCGGAACAACGGGGAGACGGGGAGATGAAAAGACGGGAATGCTGTGTGGCTATGTGGGTAGCGGACCGGGGGCGGGGGAATGCTGTATGGCGATGTTGGTAACGGGACTTTTAACGTTTTGGAGAACTTGTTGGCTTTTCCATGTGGCTTTTTGTTACACCCCTTTTTGGCCAAAGGCCAGAATGTCTTACCTTGCTGGGGGGGCGAGGCAAGGCTTATCAACGTGTTGGAGAAATCGTGCATCGCCGGACTTGCAAGTTTTCTTGGCCATTCCCTCGGTCATCACGTTCTTTCAATGATGTTGAAGCCTACGATTCATAAATGTGGACCAGAATCAAGTTTATATGTTTTGCCAGAATCAAAGATATCCAAGGGCTACCCCAAATGGACATATCCGACAATTGGTGGTTATGCATGGGTTCTACCAGACACAATCCCCAAATTCCATCCCTATAGGCCTAGAGGTGGGGTATGTCCATTTTGGGTATGTAAGTTGGCTCGAAGACATGGCTGTGGGTCAAACATATGTACCCAAAATGGACCCCTGGTAAGTGGAAACATGGACCAGAACCTGCGGTCCAATTCCTGGTTTAGTTTTGACCCATACCCATGGCATGTTTGGGTTTGTTTTGACCCATACCCATACCCCCATACCCATTCCTGGTTTAATTTTGACCCATACCCACAGTGTCCTCAGACTCCTTCGCATGTTTTTTGGGCCCATGTTTCGGCCGACTACCCAGGAGCCGTGCGCCACGCAGCTGAAGCTGGGCGATGGCAGGAGCGCGCTGACCAGCGCCTTCCGTTCCGCGCAGGAAGAACTGGAGGCGCTGAAACGGAAGCCGTCCAGGGGTGGGAGGGGGTTCTCAAAATCATGGACCCCTTGCTGGTGGGAAATTGGTAGGGAAGGAGGGAATGAAACTGGTGGTCCATGGGGGTCCCCTTCAAAGAAAACCACCACTTGGATGGGTTTTAGGGGGCATTCCAACTCATTCCCTACTGAGCCCCAGCAAGTTTGAAAAGGAGCTTTGCTAAACCCCCTGAACGTATGTAGCAAGTTTGTTTTGGTTGTATTTCTGGGGAATATAAACAAACAAAGACTTGTTTCAAAGGGAAGCAAGCACGCAGCGTGGTTCTGAAAGCGTGAATCCATGGGTGGGGGCATAGTAGTCCCTTTGATCGGTTAGTTTGGGACAAGAATTAGATAGGTTCCATTCCATGTGCCAGAGCCTCTCTGGCACCGATTTTCCGAACAGGACATGTCAGCTTCCCCGTAATTGGAGGTTTAGATTCTAGGTCCCCCAGCAGTGCCCTTTTACACTTTTTTGGGGGAGGGTTCTCCTACTAAATTAGACTACAGAAAGAAGGGTATCCTTATTCTAACCTCTCTTCTGGAGGACCTAGGATTGGTGGTTTGGGGTTTGAACCCCCGTTTCATGTTGATGCTAAATGGGAAGCTACCCCCTCAGGAGGGGCGAGTTGTTTCTGTCTCGGTTTTGTGAAGCTGAATTCACTGCTAAACAGATGCCAGTACGATCTTGGAGGAACCTCACCTTGGTATGTCCGTGTTTCATTTTTTGGTTGATTGATGTTTGATCGTCAACCTTGGTATGTCCGTGTTTCATTTTTTGGTTGATTGATGTTTGTCAAGACTTTCTGAACTCATTCGGGCAGCGTCTTGGTTGAGGAGCACAGATGCATTTCAAGCATGACTGCTTTGACTTGTAGCACACAGTTGAGGGACATCCCCGCAAATGATTGCCAAGCGCACCCATGTCTGTACAGAAGCACCAGACAGGTCAGGTTGGTGCCCCCCGCCTAGAGAGAAGGAACTTCCGCCACCGGAATCAAGATGTAGTTTTCCATTTCGCCCGCTAAAAGTTGTGGACTTTCAGCAGGGGATCTAAGGACAGCCCACATTCCGTTCCGCACAAACTTGGAGCAAACCATCAGTGAGTCTGTTAGACTGTCGACTGTTGACTGCTGCTAGCGTATCCTTGACTATGTCCCCCAGTAGTGCCCTTTCTCGCCAACTCTTTGGGGGGAGGCTTCCCCTAAAATAGATCCCCACCGCGCGAGAAATAGGTACAGTGAAGAAAACAAGGGAGTACAGGCACCAGTCTAACAGTCACTGGGTCCTCCATTAGAGAGGTTAGAATAAGGGTACCCTTTTTTCTGCAGGGCATGCGGGTGAGATGTGCGTGTGTGTGATTACTGATTTGAAGCAATGCTTGCATGGCGAGGGTGAGCCATTTTTTAGCCTGCGGGCATTTCAGTGGGCGATTGAATCGAGAAATTTGATGTTTGGTGCCGATTCCTTAAAAGGACCCAACGCACAGGCTGTTGCCCCACTAGCATGAAACCTCAAACACTCAAAAGAGATTCCCACAAGTGGTTGTTTTTGCTTTTTCCACGTCCTGCCCCCCAAAAAAACTAGACCACGGTTGGCCCGAAAGCAGAACATCGCAAGCGAGGTCGGCCCAACGCTGCAGGATGCGTTCTTTTTCCCTACACTTCGTGAAGCAAGCGCGAGACAGCACCAGGCAAGGTGCTCTGCGCAAACTGGTCGGTGCAAGTTGGTCTGCGCAAGTTGCTCTACGCAAGTTGCACTGTGCAAGTTGCTCTGCGCAAGTTGCTCCGCGCAAGTTGCTCCGGCAAGTTGGTCCCTGCAAGTGGCTCCCTGCAAGTTGCTCTGTGCAAATTGCGCTCCCTGCAAGTTGCTCTGTGCAAGCTGCTCTGTGCAAGTTGCTCTGTGCAAGTTGCTCTGCGTAAGTTGCTCTGCGCAAGTTGCTCTAGGCAAGGCGCTCTGCGCAAACTGGTCGGTGCAAGTTGGTCTGCGCAAGTTGCTCTGTGCAACTTGCTCTGCGCAAGTTGCTCTGCGCAAGTTGCTGTAAAATGCAAGTTGCATCTTGCGACGCCCGCCCGCGGACCAGGGAGGAATCGAACCCGCGACCCGCCGGTTCCGGGAGCAGGCGCGCGAACCACGAGACAACTCCCGAGGACCAGTTCGAACAACAAAAGTCGCAAAAAACCTTGAGTTTTTGCACCTCGACCACGCCGATTCCCGCAGAGGGTTGCGCGAGCACCGCAGAAATCGCAAAAAACCATGGGTTTTTGCACCTCGACCACGCCGATCCCCGCAGAGGGTCGCGCGAGCAGGTTAGAAATCGCAAAAAACCATGGGTTTTTGCACCTCGACCACGCCGATCCCCGCAGAGGGTCGCGCGAGCAGGTTAGAAATCGCAAAAAACCATGGGTTTTTGCACCTCGACCACGCCGATCCCCGCAGAGGGTCGCGCGAGCAGGTTAGAAATCGCAAAAAACCATGGGTTTTTGCACCTCGACCACGCCGATCCCCGCAGAGGGTCGCGCGAGCAGGTTAGAAATCGCAAAAAACCATGGGTTTTTGCACCTCGACCACGCCGATCCCCGCAGAGGGTCGCGCGAGCAGCAGAAATCGCAAAAAACCATGGGTTTTTGCACCTCGACCACGCCGATCCCCGCAGAGGGTCGCGCGAGCAGGTTAGAAATCGCAAAAAAACCATGGGTTTTTGCACCTCGACCACGCCGATCCCCGCAGAGGGTCGATTTTCGTGTAGTGTCGTCGGCACTACCCCGCCGCCCTAAGAAGAGATTTTAACTCCTCGCAAGTCAATTGCACTTGACTCCTTGCACTTGCAACTTGCACTTGACTCCTTGCTTGTTTCAAGGAGTCATTGCAAGCAGTCATTGCAAGGAGTCATTGCAAGGAGTCATTGCAAGGAGTCATTCATTGCAAGGAGTCATTGCAAGGAGTCATTGCAAGGAGTCATTGCAAGGAGTCATTGCAAGGAGTCATTGCAAGGAGTCATTGCAAGTCATGCAAGGAGCCAAGTGCATGGAGTCAAGTGCAAGTCGCAAGTGCACGGAGTTAAGTGCAAGTTGCAAGTGCAAGGAGCCAAGTGCAAGGAGCCAAGTGCAAGGAGCCAAGTGCAAGGAGCCAAGTGCATGGAGTCAAGTGCAAGTTGCAAGTGCATGGAGTCAAGTTGCAAGTGCAAGGAGTCAAGTGCAAGTTGCAAGTGCAAGGAGTCAAGTGCAAGTTGCAATCCTTGCCATGACTCCTTGCAATGACTCCTTGCAATGACTCCTTGCAATGACTCCTTGCAATGACTCCTTGCAATGACTCCTTGCAATGACTCCTTGCATTGACTTTCATGATGATGATTCCTTGCAATGACACCTTGTAATGACTCTCATGAGAACAATTCAAGTGAACCCAGCGGAAGAACCCTTCGCCATGCTTTCGGGAAAACAAAGCACAGCTTATTTTTGCTTTTTATGGATGGCACCCATCCAACCAAAAAACCCGGGCGCCCAAACAATCCACCGCTGGTTTTGGGGAACCCCTCCAACCAAATTCCCCCCCAAGAAAAGCAAAGCACCGGATCTTTTTTGTTGCTTCTTATAGATGGAATTTAATCAAAACCCCGACGGGGGCTGTGCATTTGTTTCCTCGGGTCATCAGCGGGCGCTTCTCAGCGGCCGCAGGCTGGCGCTAAGGCGCTGGGCAAAGACATCCACCTCAGCGGGACGACGGCCACGGTGGCGCTGCTTCCCCCGCGCGCCGCGGGCGAAGAAAATTCGCTTCGACGACGGCGATGCGGCGGGATGTTTTTTTGTTTTGTTCTTTTTGTTCTTCTTTCCTTCTTTCTTGTTTGAACTCGTTTTTTTCCCCCAGATAGCTGAAAGCTATAGGGGTTCTAACTTCTAATAAAGAGAGGAAAGTGATTTGCGAGATTGAGGGCCGGGCGCTAGGGGGCATGCAGTTTGAGGTGCTGGTGGATGCTGCTTTGCGAGCTTGACGGCTGGGTGCTAGGGGGCATGCAGTTTGAGGTGCTGGTGGATGCTGCTTTGCGAGATTGAGGGCCGGGTGCTAGGGAGCATGCAGTTTGAGGTGCTGGTGGATGCTGCTTTGCGAGCTTGACGGCCGGGTGCTAGGGGGCATGCAGTTTGAGGTGCTGGTGGATGCTGCTTTGCGAGATTGAGGGCCGGGTGCTAGGGGGCATGCAGTTGAAGGTGCTGGTGGATGCTGCTTTGCGAGCTTGACGGCCGGGTTCTGGGGGGCATGCAGTTTGAGGTGCTGGCGGGTGCTGCTTTGCGAGCTTGACGGCCGGGTGCTAGGGGGCATGCGGTTTGGGGTGCTGGTGGGTGCTGCTTTGCGAGCTTGACGGCCGGGTGCTAGGGGGCATGCAGTTTGGGGTGCTGGTGGGTGCTGCTTTGCGAGCTTGACGGCCGGGTGCTAGGGGGCATGCAGTGTGGGGTGCTGGTGGATGCTGCTTTGCAAGCTTGACGGCCGGGTGCTAGGGAGCATGGGGGGCATGCAGTTTGGGGTGCTGGTGGATGCAGCTTTGCGAGCTTGACGGCCGGGTGCTAGGGGGCATGCAGTTTGGGGTGCTGGTGGGTGCTGCTTTGCGAGCTTGACGGCCGGGTGCTAGGGGGCATGCAGTTTGGGGTGCTGGTAGGTGCTGCTTTGCGAGCTTGACGGCCGGGTGCTAGGGGGCATGCAGTTTGGGCTGGTGGGTGCTGTTTTGCAAGCTTGACGGCCGGGTGCTATGCAGTTGGGGGTGCTGGTGGGTGCTGCTTTGCGGGTGCTACGGGGCAGGCAGTTTGGGGTGCAGGTAGATGCTGCTTTGCGAGCTTGACGGCCGGGTGGGGGGCTGCTGGTTTGCGAGCTGGCCGGCGAGCTTGACGGCCGGGTGCTCGGGTGCTGGTGGATGCTGTTTTGTTTTTCGAGCTGGCTGGGTGCTGGGGGCATGCAGTTTGGGGTGCTGGTGGATGCTGTTTTGTTTTTCGAGCTGGCCGGGTGCTAGGGGCATGCAGTTTGGGGTGCTGGTGGATGCTGTTTTGCGAGCTTGACGGCCGGGTGCTGGGGGGCATGCAGTTTGGGCTGCTGGTGGATGCTGTTTTGCGAGCTGGCCGGGTGCTAGGGGGCATGCAGTTTGGGGTGCTGGTGGATGCTGTTTTGCGAGCTTGACGGCCGGTTCTAGGGGGCATGCAGTTTGGGGTGCTGGCGCATGCTGCTTTGCGAGCTTGACGGCCGGGTGCTAAGGGGCATGCAGTTTGAGGCGCGGGTGGATGCTGCTTTGGTTGTACCGGGTGCTAGGGGGCATGTTTGGGGGTGCTGGTGGATGCTGTTCGCGTGTAACGGTTCGTGGCTGGTGTATCGTCATGATGTTCCCACGTTATGGTGTGTGGGTGTAGTGGCGCCGTGATGCTGTCAACGTCAGGATGATGCAGAATTTCATTAAGCTGTCGCAAGATGGTTCGTGGCTGTGGTATCATCATGATGCTGCCCTTACCATCAGCATGATGCTGTTCGCATCACCATGATGCTGTCCGCATCATCATGATGCTGTCCGCATCATCATGATGCTGTCGAACTCATCAGGACCTCGTTTTTGCTTTTTCCTGCCGGATTGCTCTCAAAATAATCATTATGCTGCTGATCTCATTAGGACGTTGTCTGCGCGTTTGTTTCGTGGCTGTGGTGTCATCATGGTCTACATCATCATGATAATGCTGCGTCATGGTTCGTATCCGTGGTGTGCTATCTGGGGTCTATGATGGTGTATTTTTTTTTGTTATGCTCGGGCTTGTGGTTGCCAGTGGTTGCGTTTGCTGTTGCCTTTTTTTTCGCCGTCGCGGAGCGCCGATGGGCGGGACGGATCCTGGGTGTTTGTCGGGTGCGCCCTGGGCGGGGAAGAACCCTGGACCCTTTGAAGGAGATAGCTCGGTGGTTTCCAGGCATCCGGTTCCTAGGGTTTTTTGGGTTTAGTGGTGGGTTCCATTTCAGCTGCTAAAAGTTCAAGATGTTTAGCAGGGCCTAAGTATCAGAAAGGAGCCTCGAAATGGGAAAGGGGGACGTTGACCTCCATGGGTTTTGGTTTGGACCTTGAAAAGGGCCCTTTTGAGGTTCCAAGATGCTTAAAAAATGGGATCTCGCCTTGGATTCATAGAGATTCTCATGAACCACTAGATCGTCG